CGCCATGGAGCTCATCGACAAGTACGAGCCCTCAGAGACGGGTAAGAGAGCGCTGCTCCCGGCCCGGCCGGTCCCCGCGCTGCCCCCGTCCCCGGCACTCAGTGTGTCCCCGTGTGTCCCCAGCCAAGGCCCGCCACGTGCTGAGCGCCGATGGGTTCCTCATGTACCTCTGCTCCCCGGAGGGCTCCATCTTCAATCCGCGGCACCGGGCGCTTTGGCAGGACATGAGCCAGCCGCTCTGCCACTACTTCATCTCCTCCTCTCACAACACCTACCTGATAGAGGACCAGATCCGGGGCCAGAGCAGCATCGAGGGCTACATCAGGTGAAGAGCTGCTCCCTCCTGGCTGCCTTCTCCTTGGCCAGGCTCCGGGCAGCTCCGTGGCRCAAGTCAAGCAAGGGGAGACGCTTCCCTTGGCAGAGGGACAACCCTGCCCCTTGGCAGGGCTCCTTCTCCGTGATGCAGCTCCCTGTGGCCCCTCCAAGGGGTCCCTTTTGGGAACAGCTGCCCCACACAACGGTACCCCYCCCACACCCCTAGCAGTTGTCCCCAAGGCTGGCATGGTCCCTGTGGGAGGAGACACCCACAACCAGAGGAGAAGCTGGGGTGGGTACCAGGGGGTCCGGTGCCCTGGCCGGGCATGGGCTAGCAGGGCTGCTGACTGCCCCCCTGCAGGGCTCTGAAAMGGGGCTGCCGCTGCCTCGAGGTGGATTGCTGGGACGGGCCGAACGGGGAGCCCCTGGTCTACCACGGCCACACGTTCACCTCCAAGATCCCCTTCCGGGAGGTGGTGAGCACCCTGGGCAAATACGCCTTCCAGGTAGGGCACCCTTCCCACGCGGGCCCTGGGGAGGAGCGCGGTGCTCCGGGACAGCAGTGGGTCTCTGGAGGGCAGCAGGGGGAGAGGGTGGCTGGGGCCCTTCCCTTCCATGGCACCTTGGGGACTGACCTGCAGACCTGTGTTGTGGCCTGCCAGGGATGCCTGTGGGCCCAGCCTGCTGGGGACACTGGGGTGGGATGGGCGCTGGGGGGGACGGGGTGGGTAGGGGGCATGATGGGGGACTGGGGTGTATGGGGGCACAGCCAGGTCTCGGGAGACACAAGGGCTCKTCCCTGGCATCGACCGTGCCTGGGCACAGCCCCTGTGAGCCCTTGCAGCGCTGCCCACCCAGGAGGGTGCAAGGTGCTGCACTGATGCAGCCACCTCGGTGGCACCGAGGGCCGTGGGGCTCTGTGGTCACTCCAGGTAGAGGAGAGGAGCCCCGTGTTCCCCTATGCATCCCGCCTGCACGTCTGYCCCAGGCCTCGGACTACCCGGTGATCCTGTCACTGGAGAACCACTGCAGCGTGGAGCAGCAGGACGTGCTGGCCCAGCAGCTCAAGAGCATCCTGGGCGAGCAGCTCCTCACGGCCACGACCGACGGGCGCATCCCCACGCAGCTCCCGTCCCCAGAGGTAAAGCCCCAAGCGCGGCCGCGCTGGGCATCGCTGTCCCATGTGGGATGGGGCAGTGCCCCTGTCACCCCCCAATGACTGGGTCCTGCTCCAACACCTCCCTGCTGAGAGCAGGGCTCCTTTGCCAAGGGAACCCCAGGGTCTGGGCACTTCGCACAGAGGAAAGGCTGTCCCTGCCCCGGGAGCATCCTGCGTGCCGGGGAGCAGAGGCACCGGGGCCTGGCACCCCGGGGTCCCTGCGCAGGGCCACCCCCATCCCCAACCCCGCAGGAGCTGAAGCACAAGATCCTGCTGAAGGGCAAGAAAATCGGGCGGCTGGAGGACATGCTGGACGGGCCGGGGGACGAGGCGCCCGAGCTGTCCGATGAGGACAATGGCGCAGAGGCGGAGGAGGAGAAGCGGAGGGCGAAGGTGGGTGCTGGGCACGGGGCGGGAGTGCCAAGACCCCCGGTCACGTCTGTGGGTTGTGAGGCACCAAGGGGACGGCAGTGACCATGGGGTCCTCAGCAGCTGGGGGCTCCCCTTGGTGCCCGTGGCCGTGGCAGCATCGTGCCAAGTGTCCCCAGGCTGCTCTGCTTCTGTGGGGCTCCACTGCCACCCCAGCACCTCAGCTGGCTGGGGCCGCCCTATGGCCCCAGGCTGGTGAAGACCCCGTCCCAAAGAGTGCTGCGGGACACTGCTGCCCTCAGGGGACACTGAACGTGTCTCTGCCTTGCAGAAGGACAGGGAGAGCCTGGCGCAAGCGTTGTCCGACTGCGTCATCTACTGCAAGAGCGTGTCCTTCCAGGGCTTCCAGGAGGCCCGCGCCCACTCCCGGCCCTCCGAAATCTCCTCCTTCTCCGAGGCCAAGGCCAGGAAACTCATCCGGGAGTCGGGTGAGGTGGAGGGGCTGAGGTGGATGGCTGGGTGGATTTATGGGCAGAGGGTTGGGTAGGAGGATGGACAGGTGGGTGGAGGTGTGGACGTGCTGCCGGGCGGCTCAGGGGGTGGGAGGCCACGCAGATGGGSGGCTAACCTCACAAGAGGCCCTCCCGGTCCATCCGTAGGGAATGAGTTTGTCCGCCACAACGCCTGGCAGCTGAGCCGCATCTACCCCAGCGGGATGCGCACCGACTCCTCCAACTACAACCCGCAGGAGATGTGGAACGCGGGCTGCCAGATCGGTACGGCCTTGGGATGCCGGGCTGCGTGTGGGCAGGGGCTCCAGACCCACAGACCCACAGCGGTGCCAGCTGCAGCCCGGGAGACCAGGGGAGACCAGGGCTACCCACGCACTGCTGCCTTGGCCCCAGCGTGGCCCTGCCCGCGGGACAGGCTGTTCCTCAAGCCCAGGCTGGTTCCTGCCCCCCGGCTGCAGCAGGGAACACGTCCATAGGGCGCTGGGTGCGGGTACCCTGGGCCTTCCCAAGCTGTTTCCATGCTGCCTCCCTGCAGTGGCCCTGAACTTCCAGACGGCCGGCACAGAGATGGACCTCAACGACGGGCTCTTCAGCCAGAACGGCCGCTGTGGCTACGTGCTCAAACCRCCCTTCATGAGGCACGAGGGGACCCCCTTCAACCCCAGCGACCCCAGCACCTGGGAGAGCTACGGCCCCACCACCCTGACGATCCAGGTACGGGGCCAAGGGAGCCCCCCGGCAGTGAGGATGTGCCCCAACAGCAGCGTGTGGGTTGGGTCTTTGCCCAGAGCTGGGGCAGCGCTGCCCTCGCAGACCCACGGCCGGCTCGGTGTGGGGCTGGCCGGCGAGCCGGAGCTCCGGGGCCTGCTCAGCTCACGGCAGCGCTGCTCCCAGCTCAGGGGGACCCTGCCCCTGTGTGCAGGTCATCAGCGGGCAGCAGCTGCCCAAAGTTGCCAACAGCAAGGACGAGGCTGTCATCGACCCGCTGGTGCGYGTGGAAATCCACGGCGTCCCCGCCGACCAGGCCCACCAGGAGACCAAGTACATTGAGAACAACGGTGAGTCCCAGCGCGCTGCCCGGCTCCGTCCTGCTCCTGCCCTCTCAGCGCTCGCTCTCCCTCCGCAGGCTTTAACCCCCGCTGGGATGAGACGCTCCGGTTTCAGCTCCGCATGCCGGAGCTGGCCCTCGTCCGCTTCGTGGTGGAGGATTACGACAAGACGTCCCGCAACGACTTTGTGGGCCAGTTCACCCTGCCCTTCGSCAACATCAAGCCCGGTGAGGCTGGGCTGCTGCCTGCTGCTGGGCGGCAGTGGGGCTGGCAGGGTGGGCGCCGGGCACGCTGTGGGGCCGGCAGCCAGCAGCGCCCCGCTGTGCCCCGCAGGCTACCGCCACATCCACCTGCTCTCCAAGGACGGCACCAACATCCCGCCCTCCTCGCTCTTCGTCCACATCCGCATCACGGAGCCGCCGGGTGCCGAGCAGGAATGAGCACCCTGGGGCGAGCGGCGCCCGGTGGAAGGCGCACAGCGGGCCCAGCTCGGGCCCYGCAGAGCCGAGCACCCTGCGCTCCGGCCCTTTGCAGCTGCCCTCCGTGTCTCCGTTGCTGCTGGTCCACAGTGACCTCCAGGGGAAGGCACCTCCCTGGGATGGCCCCTTCCATCCCCGCCCATTGCCCCATGTGGGGTCTGTTCCATGCACAGCTGYCCCAGGCCCCAGCTCAGCCACGGAGAAGAGGAGAAATGGGGCAGGACACCCCAGATCTGCTGCCCACACCTGTGCCCCCAGCACGGGAGAGCAAGACTAGAGCCCAGTGAACCCCCTAGACCAGACTAGAGCAAGGGGAGCGGGGAGAAGGGTCAGGCCCCAAACCCCCCTCTGCCGCGCAGAGCCTGTCCCTGCCCCCGCAGCTCCCTCTCCTGAACCCCTGCACCCTCCTTTCTATCCAAACAACCCAATAAAAAATCTTGTGACAAACAGACTGTTTGGGGTCCAGACGGTTCTGGGGGACCAACTTGGCCTGCGTGTGGGGAACAGAGCCTGGGCACTCCCCCCTGCTTGGGGAACRTGCCCCACTGCTCGTGCTGGGCTCCAGGGCAAGGCCCCAGGGCAGAGCCCAGGAAGCAGCAGGAGCGAGGGCTGCCCCAGCATCACAGCATTCCTGGGAGGGAGCTGTGAGGCTGAGCAGTGCTGGACAGGGTGCCCTCTTGCCCACAGGTGCCCAGGCCCACGTTGCCCTTTTAARTGTCTTGCTGAGCGGTGTTCGCTGCCCAGAGGGGTGGAATGGGGCTTTGACCCCAGTCCTGCCTAACAAAAGCTCCAGAGCCTGGTCCAATCCAGCCAGGGTCTCCCCGCTTGCCCCMCACACAAGGATCCCAGGAGGTGCTCCCAGCAGAAAAGAGAGCGCTCGCTGGATAAGGACATGACGGATACCCAGCCCCCAGGGASAGGTTTTAACCAGGAGCAAAAACCAAAGCCACGCCAAGGCTCTCACCACCCTAGCCCCACTTTGGAAAGGGAAAACACAACACAGCCCAAAGCAGCAGGATTAAAAGGAGTTGAGGTTCCTTTTATACAGCCGCATATTTTACATCTCATATACATATATGCCTATACACACACATACATCTCCGTGGAGGGCCTGCATTTAGAGGGTGCCCCCCGGGGGGACAGCACCCTCGTCCGCAGGGCGGCCGCCATCCTGCGCGGGGGGCCGCTGGGCCGGGCTCTGCTGGGCCGGGCTCTGCCGCTGCGCGTGGAGCAGGAGGTGCCCGTGGTCCGCGGGGGGCTCCTTGCCCACGCCCTGGCTCGCATCSCCCACGCTGCGCTCGGGGTGGTGCCGCTGGATGTGCTTGACCACCTGGAACTTCTGCTTGGCCTTGTAGGGGCAGTAGCGGCAGAAGAAGGGCTGCTCGTCGGTGTGCGTGAGGCGGTGGTGGCGCAGGCCGGCGGCCCAGCGGAAGGCGCGCCCGCAGGCGCCGCACACGTAGGGCCGCTCCTCGCTGTGCTTCTTGAGGTGCGTCTTGAGCAGGAAGCGCGTCTTGAAGGCCTTGCCGCACTGCTCGCACACGAAGGCGCGCGCCTCGCCGTGCCGCGTCTCCTTGTGCGCGCGCAGCGCGTCCGCCCGGTTCGTGCGGTACTCGCACTCGTCGCAGCCGTGCGGCTTGAGGCCTGCGGCGACAGCAGGGCCCTGGCACCGCTGCCACAGGGCCCTGGCACCGCCGCCCCTCTGCTCCCTTGGCAGCAACTGAGGGTCCCCCCCTATCCATAGGGCTCCGAGGGTCTGTGTCATCTGGCCTTCCCCACCCCAAGGGCTGCGACTGCAGGGAGGAGGTGGGAGGTGCTGCCCTGATGGGGTCTGGCCGCTGCTTCCCGCTCCGCCAGCTGGGTCACAGGCAGTGAGGAGGGCACAGAGGTGCCACCCTCACGATGCCATGGCCCTTCCTGCGCCCCCAGCTCTGCCAGCCACTCACCCGTGTGCTTCGTCATGTGGTACTTGAGCTGATTCACCCACTTGCACTTGTAGCCGCACTCCGGGCACAGGTATTTCCGCTCCTCCTTGTGGATCCGCATGTGGTACTGGGCACAGGGAAGGCATGGACATGGTCAGCACTGGGCTAGGGGCAGCCTCACACATGAAACCCACCYCACCGCCCCAGCTGGGCTCCACAGGGCATCCTCTAGGAACCCTCCCTCCGGTCAGCATGAGGCCGTGTTGTCCTCGAGGATCCTCGAGGGATCCTCAGGAAGGGCTTGCAGCCGGGCCCGACCTCACAAGGGGCAAGAAGGGAAATCACGTAGTTTGACAGACTATGCAGAGATCTGCAGCAGGGCCAGGACAAGACCTTGATACACCCGAGACTGCTCTGTTCAGCCCACGGGGAGCCTGGGTTCCTCTCCCTGCTTTGGTATTTGGAGGCAGCRTGGCAGGGCTCGCTGCACACTCTGCCTCCAGCCGCTCCCCAGCGCAGCGCTCCAGGGCTGCCTCACCCAGGCGGCCCCAGGGGCCTCCAGCTCGGCCTGACCATTACAAAAAGTCAATATTCCCCTCAGCAAAACAGACCATTTGCTTTCCATTAGCTCACACCTGGCTCCCTTGGTCTAGACAGGAGGCTCTTTGCCATGTGAAGAGATCATCACCTACGAGGCGGAGCAGCCGCAGCCTCCAGTCCGCAGCGTGGCACTGCCCCGCGCAAGTGGGCAAGCAGGGGCCCCGATCACAGGGGCACCGCACTTTTCCTGTGCCATGTCCAGGCTGCCACCAGCACAGGGAGCAGCGCGAGCAGCCACGCTGGGCTTTGCGGTGCCAGGCTGCCCCGTGACACGGCTGCTTACCCTCAAGGGCACCAGAGATGCCAGTGAGCACACGGCTGAACTTGCACAGGGCTGAACTTGCATAGGGACCGATATTCCTGCCTTGCTAATAAACCCCTTTCCCCAGAACAGCAGTCAGCAGAGTTTGAAGGGAAACATGTTAATACCCACATACCTTTTTCCCGCTTGCTTCTTATTCCTGTACTAACTCCAAGGGAAAAAGGAGAGATGGAAAACTTCCCCTGAAAGCTTCTTCCTGCCCAGGTCTCTGTGCCTGCAGCCCTGCCGAACCCACACAGGGGTAGGAGCGATGTCCCCCCGTCCCCAAGCAGCGTGCTCACCTTGAGGCGCGAGGGGTCAGCACAGGCGTATTTACAGAGATGACACTTGTAGGGCTTCTCGCCGGTGTGGATACGGATGTGCCACGTGATCTTCTGCCTGTTCTTGGTGGTGTACTCACAATCTGAGCACTTGTAGACACGGGTGCCGCCGTGGCCCTTCATGTGCTGGTCGAAGACGAGCTGGTGGCGGCAGGCGAAGTCGCAGAAGGGGCAGCGCAGGGGTCTCTCCTGGGGGGCGGCCGGCTCGTGGCTCTCCACGTAGTGCCCCACGAGCTGCTGCCGCTCCTTGGCCGCGAAGCTGCACAGCTCACAGCGGTGGCTGAAGTGCTGCTTCTTGTGCTCCTCCAGAGCGTCCCGCGTGGCAAAGGTCTCCTTGCAGGCGCCGCACTCCAGGTGCGGGTGCTGCTTCTGCACGTGGCACTTGAGGGTGGCCTCGCTGTGGCACACGAAGCCGCAGCGCGGGCAGCCGTAGGGCACCTTCTCCTCGTGCCGCCGCAGCACGTGCTGCTTGAGGGCGGTCTCGGAGCTGAAGCGGGCGTCGCAGCGGGCGCAGCCCACGTTGAGCTCGCCGCGGTGGCAGCTCCTCACGTGGCGCGTGATGTCGTTCTGCAGGTAGCTGCCGTAGTCGCAGAGCGGGCAGAAGTGCGTGGGCGTCTTCTCGTGCACGCGCAGGCGGTGCACGCGCAGCTTGGAGTTGGTGCCGAAGGTCTGGCCGCAGGCGCCGCAGGCCACGCGCCCCACGCCCGTGTGCAGCGACTGGTGGGCGCGCAGGCGGTAGCGCCGCGTGGTGCTGAACTCGCAGTAGCGGCACTTGTGGGGCTTGAGCCCCTCGTGCTTGATGCGGACGTGCTGGCGCAGGCACCGCGCCTGCTTGCACGTGAACTCGCACTGGCGGCACTGCAGCTGCGGCCGCTTGCTGTAGCGCTTGCGGTGCAGCCGCCGGTGCAGCCGCAGGGCCTTGGCCGCCTTGGACGTGAAGGGGCAGGAGGCGCAGCGGAACTCGCCCAGCGCCGCGCAGCCCCTCTGCGTGTGCGTCTTCAGGGCCCGCTCCTGGTGGCACGTGAAGGGGCACGTGGGGCAGGAGAACCGCCGCCGCTTGGGAACGGCGGCTTTCCGGGGAGCGGCGGCTGGCGGCGCCTCGCCGGGTGCACCCGCCTCGCTGCCAGCCGGGGCTCCTGGGGGTGTCTCGGTGCCCTGGCGCCCGTCACCCTCGGGGCGCTCGCCGTGCGTCTCGCTGCGGTGGCTCCGCAGGGCCCGCCGGGAGCGGAAGGCCGCGGGGCACAGGGAGCAGCAGAACTGCGCCCGCCGCCGGCAGCCGTCCTGCACGTGGGAGGTGATGGTGGAGACGCGGGAGCAGGCGAAGGAGCACGCGTTGCAGCGCAGCTTTCCGCCCTCCACACGGTATTTCTCAGATGTTCTCCCAGGCTGGGAGGGACAAACGGCTCCACCTGGCTCAGCGGGATCCCCTTGCATGGAAGGCTCTTCCACCACGTCCATGCTGCTATCAGGAGGGGGCTTCTCAACAGCAGGACTGCCCGAGGCCTCTTCCTTGGCTAAGGGACTGCTCGAGGACTGCGTTTTCTCAGCTATCACCTCCACTTCCCAGGGGGTCTCATGGTGCCCAGACTCCTCCAAGCCTCCCCTGTCGCTCCCTGATGTTTCTGGACCACTGTCCCCTGGCTGGCTGGCAGGTTGGCACAASCCAGGCAGCTCCTGAGCAGCCAGTTTCAGGGTCCTGTTCTTCTTCAGGAGGACMGGGCACTTCTTGAGGAGGTGGGTGTTGAGCCCCCTTTGCTGTTTGAAGCTGGCACCACACTCGTGGCACACGAGCGGTGCCCGGCGGCTCTGGCAGCTGGCTCTCGAGTGCAGGGACATGGACTTCTCCTTGCGGGTCACGTACGAGCACTTCTCGCACTTGAAGATGCGGCTCTCCGACTGCACCACCAGCATCTGCACCCTGCCCTCCAGCACCAGCGTCTCCGCCTGCTCCTTGTCCTGCTTCCGCAGCGCCTTGAGCACCGACTCGCAGCCGCCCCCCGCGTCGGCGGGAGAGGTGGCCGCAGGCGGCGAGCGGCTCCGCTCGGCCGATCCCGGCGCCCGCAGCCGGTGCTCGGCCGGCTCCACGTGGCTGCTCTCCCTCATTCCGGTGTCCGCACCCGGCGCGCCGAGGTCGGAGCACGGCCCTTGTGGGCTGCCCTCAGCCTCCCCGACCACATCTTTTCCCTGGCTGTCCCCCGTCACAGTGCTGCCCTCCAGCCTCGCTGCTTCATTCCCACGTGCATCTGTCTCATCCTCCTCAAAGTCTGGGATGTCTCCAAGTGCGTTGTCATTGTCCTCTAGGCCAAGGTCATCCCGGGAGCCTAGCACTTCATAGGCTGCAGGAGGCTCCTTGCAGGCCAGCATTTCTGCGCTCTCTGCCTGAGATGCRCAGGCATCTCCAGCCAGATGCTCCAGCATAGGGTCAGATGAGACATCCAAGGTCTCCAAGTGCAAGGTGCAGCTCTCAACCACATCCCCCGAAGGAGCAAAACCAGCTGAGCCTGGAGCAGGATCAACTTGTGCGCTGGCAGTGAGGGGACAGCTCTGCTCCCCTTCACGCTGCCCCTGCCCCAGCTCGGGGCCGCCCTGGGGCACAGCAGCACCCTGCTCCAGAAGAGGCAGCACCAGCGCTCGCTGGCAGCTCTCCTCCCGCTGCGGCTCCGCTTTCGCCCACTGCTCCTTGCCGGAGGCTGGGGAGGCAGCACCCGAGCCGTGGGATGCGCTGTGCTGAGCAGGAGCTGCGCCGAGCTCGCAGCCAAAGAGCACCTCGGAGGAGCTGATCTCCTGCTCCTTGCTGGCGTAGTTCTCCAGCCAGTCCTTGTCCCCGGGGACGTAACCGTGAACCTTGCGCTTGTGGAAGAAGAGGCTGGTGTTGCTGAAGGTGCAGTAGGAGCAGAGGGCACAGCGGAACTCCTTCTGCTTGGTGTGCTTGCAGTTCTCGTGGTTCAGCAGCGCCTGCTTGTACTTGGTCTGGTAGGCGCAGTACTGGCACTGGAAGATGGGCACCTGGTAGTTCTGCGAGTGCTTGGCCTGCATGTGCTTCTGCAGCTCGTACTTGCGCTTGCAGGTGAAGCCGCACACCTCGCAGATGAGGCTTTTGCCCTGATGCCTCAGCTTGTGGCTGCTCAGCTGGTCGGCACGGTGACACCGGTACGAACACTGGTTGCACTGGTACCTATGGGGGAAGCAGAGCTGGTCAGGCCTCGTAAGGAACTGGCACGGGCTGAGCCATGCTGGACACTCTACTTGCCCACCCCAAAACATGGAACTGTTTGCTGAATCCAGCCTTTGCAGWCAAAGCAGTTCTTATCACCAGCTGTTCCTCCTTGCCACAGCTCCTGGTGCTGCTGGTGCTCTGCACACCCAGCCTGGGCTGGGTTCCCTGAGTGCCCCCCAGGGCACCTGCTTCATACTGGCCCCCTCACACCAAGAGCATCTGCAGCACATCTGCAGGCAGACTAGACACAGAGGAGGGCAAAGCGGTAATTCAGAAATAAAAATATCTGTGGGTAGACACCTGCATGCACCCAGGGCTGCTTTGCTCGTGCTCTAAGCCAGGCCTGACGAGTAGCAGCAGACTGTGGCCCTGGACTCCGAGCTGCACTGACCCCAGTGACACATTTCTCAAGGGCACTGGGACACCAAGGGCAGCTTTGCCCCCACCCCATGATGCTGGTGACCCTGGTCAGCGCAGACTGCCCATCTCAGGGACAAGAGAGCCTAACAGAGCACAGCCCAGAGCAGTGCATCCCTGAGGCAGGATCTGGGGAGCCTTTCCTACAGCGCGGGGCGCCGTGCAGTACCGGAGGTCCCCGGTGTGCTTGCGCATGTGGACGTTCAGGTAGTGCTTCCACTTGGTGATGTATCCGCACTCGGTGCACATGAAGTTCTTGTCATCGGAGTGAGTCAGCATGTGCTTGGACAGGTAGCTCACATCCCGGCACGTGAAGTCGCACAGCTCACACTTGTGGGGCTTCTCTCCTACAGACAACATGAAAAGACTTCCAGCAGCACGGCCGGGGGGCAGCTGCCCGGCCTCCCTCTGCAGGGAACGCCCAGCTCCCTAGGAGCTCGGGATAGCTGGAACGGGGGCACAGCAGGACTCCTGGGCCTGGTGCTGGCGGAATCGACAACCAAGCTACACCCAGCTGGGTGACGCTGGGGTCTGCCGTGTGACAGAGCTGGMCGTTGAAGCCCTGCTCCAGCCTCCCCGCTCACCCAGAGCGGGGACAGGACCCCACGTAGCGACCAGGCTCCCCGACCAGACACCCACCTGTGTGCAGCAGCATGTGCCGGATGAGCACCCTCTTGTGCGCGGTGGCAAAGGGGCACTCCGCGCACTTGTGGATCTTCTCGTTGGCATGCATCTTGCCCACGTGGTTCTGAAACTCGACGGGGTTGAAGGTGGCGTAGGGGCAAAAGCTGCACTGCAGCTGCTCGCTGCCCGGGTGCCCCTGCTTCTTGTGCTTGCGGAACACGTGCTTGTTGGAGCAGATGAAGTCGCACTGCTGGCAGTGGAAGGCGTAGTGCGTTTTCCGATGAGCCTCCATGGCCTCGGCCGTGCCAAAAAGCAGCGAGCAGGCGTGGTACCTGCACTCCACGGCCTTGATGCCGTGAGCATCCTTGAGGTGGCGGATGAACTCCTTGCGGTCCTCAGCAAAGTAGTCGCAGCCTCCCTGGAAGCAGCTCAGCCTCTTGGGCTCGGCTTTGTGAGTCTTCAGGTGCTCCTTGAGGGCCTGGCTGAGGCGAAACTTCTCCTCGCACACGGGGCAGGAGTAGACATCGGAGTAGAAGTTGGAGATGTCCTCGTGCATGCTGGCCATGTGGCGGTTGAGGGCGTTCTTCTCGACGGAGCTGTAGTGGCAGAGCGGGCAGCGATGGGCCTTCTCGCCCGCCTCCCGCATCATGTGGATTTTGAGCTTGCTCTTGCTGGTGAAGAACTTGTGGCAGTTGGGGCACTGCAGGCTGGGGTCGGGGAAGTGCAGGTGCAGGTGCTCCACCAGGTGCGTGCGCTTCTTGAAGCACCGCTTGCACTCGGGGCACATGTGCGTTTTGTAAAGGTACTCGGAGCCCTCCCCGACGTTCCCTACGGGGACGAGAATGGGGCAGCAGCAGGGAAGGGATGGCAAAAACAAGCAGATTCCGTCATTCTGTCATTCCGCTCTCCCCGCAGTGTGGCTACGCTGGGGCAGTTATCACACACAGCCCTGCAGCAGCTGCGTGCTGGTAGGGAGCGGCCCCATCCCGAGCCACTGGCATGGCTCGGGTGGAATCATTCCAGCTCAACACTGGGAAAAATAAGGGGGCCTTTCCACATGTCCCTGCTCCCCAGCACCAGGCAGYCACACTGGCTCCAAAGGACACCCATGTCCCGGGCAGCCAGGACCTACAGCTCCAGTCTAGCTGCAGTGTCCCCTGACTCTGGGCAGGCAGAGCCCAGCAGCTCTGGGGACAGCTACCAAGAAAGAAGTGACATTTTCACATAGGCAGAGGGCAGGAAATAGAGAAAAATTCTGCACTGCAGGACAGGTGCAGGAAGGGAGCAAGGCAGGATGCCTTGGGCCTCTCAGGCCCACAGCCCAGCCCATCTCTGCATTACGCTGCTCCTTCCCAAGCAAAAGGSCCAGACAGCTCCCGTACAGCCCTGTGGCGCTCCGTATCCTACCTTCGGGGTGCTGCTCCTGGGGTGCCTGGGCTTCCTCAGGAGCTTCCTTCCCGTTCTCTTTGGGCTCCCCCTCATAGGGGCTCTCTCCATCCTCCTCCAGCAATTCATCCGCACCACTCTCCGAGTCCTCCTCTCCAGCCGATGCCTTCTGGCCCTCCAAGGAGCCCTGCCCGGTGCCCGCGGGCTCTGCCAGCCCGGCTGCTCCCGCTGCTGCTTCCCAGCCAGGACGGCAGCTCCCCGCATCCTCCTGCCCTTCTCCTGCTTCCAAGTGGTAASAGAGATCACGGATCACATTCCAGGTGAGCAGCAAACGCCACCCCTCTCCCACATGCCCGCGAGCAACTTCCTGCCAAGACAAGGCTCTTTCCTGGGCTCTTTTCCACAGGCGAAACCGCAGCGGGGAAGAGCTGCGGAGAGCGGCTGCACCGCAGGGTGCCCGCAGCCCCCAACTCCCCCCAGCCGTAGCAGCCACACAGACCCGGCCCCGCGGCCCCCACGGGCTGTAGCCCCCCGGGCTCCCCCCAGCCCTGGCCCCGCAGAGCCCTACCCGAGAGCAGGACGCGGGGCTGCTGGAGGCCGCCGGCGGTGCCGGGCGCCGCGCGGGCGGGCTCGGCCGCGTGCCCCTTCCTGTGCTGCCCGAAGAGGCGGGCGTTGGCGGTGGCGAAGGCGCAGCGGCCGCAGTGGAAGGGCAGGTGGCAGCGGCGGTGGCGCTCCATGGCCGCGCGGCTCGGGAAGAGCAGCGGGCAGGCGCGCGAGGCGCAGGGCACGGTGCCCGCCCCGTGCGCCGCGCGCAGGTGCCCGCGCAGCTCCCGCCGCGCCGCCGCCGAGAAGCGGCAGCTCCTCTCCGGGCACGGCAGGGCCCCCCGCGCGCCCCGGTGCCTCCTGAAGTGCTCCTTGAGCGCGCCGGGCCGCGCGAACGCCGCCCGGCACACGGGGCACAGCAGCGGCTCGGCGGCGCCCGCGGGCTCCCCGCTGCTCCGCGCCGGTTCCCCGCTGCTCCGCGCCGGTTCCCCGCTGCTCCGCGCCGGCTCCGTCCCCGGCGGCTCCGCCAGCTGCAGGCACCGGTGCTGGGACAGCAGGGCGGGCTCCGGGAAGCTCTGGCCGCAGCTCTCGCAGAAATAGAGCTCCACCACCTTGAGCAGCACCTCTGCGCGGAGCCGAGCGCGGCGTCAGCAGCAGCCCCGTGGCACCGCTGGGTCGGCTGCAGCCTGCCAGGGACGGGGTGCCCTCCCCGGGATGCCGGGACCCGCATTCCCGCCAGGAAAGGGACAGCATCACCCGCGCAGTGACAGCCGGATCCCTCCCCCAGGGCGCTCCGGACGCGCGGGGCTGGGAGCGCGGCGGGCGCTGCCCACGCCGGGCTCGGTACCGGCTCCCCGTCCCCGCCGCGCGCCCCGCTACCTGCGGCGCCGCCCGCCACGGCCTCGATGAGGATCTCCACGTCGCGCCCCGCGGCCTGCGCCAGGGCGCTCGGCTCCATGGCCCCGCCGGCCGCGCTCACCGCGGCCTCTCCCGGGACGCGCCGCGGCCCTGCGCGGGACGGAGCAGCGTGAGGGGAGGCGCGGGCGG